AAAAAAGACACCTGACGAAAAACTTGACAAATTTCTGGACACTTATAAGGAAACAGCCATGCGAGCAAAACTACATAAATGTTATAATAGATAAATGAAATGTTTTTATTTAATTTTTTTACATGATTCCCAATTATTTATAATCACGATTTCTAATATTTGTACAGGCTTTACATTTTTATTTCAATGTAGCAATTAGCAATTCATTTAGTTTTATATTTGAACAGATTTGTTACGTGACAGCATTAATTAAAGTTTCTTAAGGGTCAAGATCATGTTATCTGCATCTCCTGCGCTCCATCAAACCACTCCCAAAATAGCTGTCACCACTCAAATTAATGCACGACTCTACATTATCTGAATAGCATGTGTGTAAGACTCGAATACAATTATGAAGTAATAATTTTATGATGAACAAATCTTTCAGTGAGTAAAACTGGCTGTGTCTGCAGTATTAAAGACTACACAACATTATTATATTATCTTTAAATTAATTTTTAAATGATTATTATTTTAAATTATTGTCCCTGGATCAGTAGGATACTCTTGTAACAAAGTAGTGGTGGTAGCGGACAGATTTTAAGTATCAGTTCTGCTTAAAAAGATGCGATCTAATCCTGTTTATATGAAATAAGCCTGCTCCCGAGCAGGTTTGAGCTTACGGACCTGTTGCTATGACAGCAAATCTGGGATGAGCTTGGAAGAACCAAACAATCCAAGATCATGCCAAATCATCAACAATCAAATCCAGCTAACTGAGTTAGCAACGTACGAAGAACGGGGCCGTGGTTGCGGTGCTTGTTTTGTTGTGTTTCGTATTATATTGGGTTGTTTTGCTCTTTGTTTTGTTGTGGTCTGTTTTTTGTGTTGTCTGCTTTTGTTTCGTATTGTGTTGTGTTGTTGTTGTTGTTGTTGTTGATGTTGTTGTAGTGGTGCTTGCTTTTTTTCGTGGTGTTTGTTTTGTGTTTTATTGTGTTATGTTTTGTTTTGTTGTATTGTGTTTTGCTTTTGTTTTTTTGTTTGTTTGTTTTTTTGGTGTGTTTTGTTTTTGTCTTCTGTTTTTGTTGTGGTGTTTGTTTAGTTTTTTTAAATAGTTTTGATTAGTTTTTTTGATAAGAAAAACTAAAATAAACACTCATAGTTAGTAGTAATAATTTTTTTCTTTTCGGCTGTAAAAATGCAGTTTTTGTCATACAAATACAGTACACTAAATTGTGAAAATTGACCATCACCATGCCACAGTCCGCAAAAATGTCACCTAAAGTAACTTGTGCTATTGACTTTATTTGATCAGTCCTTTAACTTTATTTGTGAGCTCTAACCTTGTCAGTGAATTGGCTCGTTTGGAATCGTTGCCTGGCATGCGGTCGCATCTTAAAAGATAATGTGTGTGCAGAGCGTGCGACTCTGAATGAGTAATCTGATTATTTTGTTGCTCGAGGTGTGTCGTAACAGCAAGCAGCATTTCCTGTGGAATCCTCCAGGCCCACTCCACGGCTGACTGTATGCAGGTGTTTTAATAATGCATGATTCCCTATCTCGAGAGGCACTCATTTGATACAAACTCTCCCTCCTCACGAGCTGCTCTGTATGCCACTGAAATTGCTAATCTGAGACGATTCCTGTAGGCCCGAGAAAACTCACCAGGGCTTCATAATGATGGAATGATTTTGTATAATAACAGATAACAAATGAAGAAGATCCTCTTATGCTTTGTTAGCAGTTCACTCAATTGTTTTGTTCAGAATATGACACTAATTTCATTTTTAGCTTATCTGATTGTAATTTATTCATCTTGTTGGTTGAATGGATCTGGAGCATTATGCATACTTTGTTTATGCAGAAATCCTGATGTTTTTATGTCTCAAGTAATGTCTGATGTGTTTACTGATTCATCTTGGCCATGGGAGATTATGTAGCTGAGATCGTCTGATTCAGGATTTCACAAGATACGAAAATCATAATGTTGTTTTATCTCTTCGGACAGGAAGTGCAAAGACCCTAGTTGTGTTTAATGAAAACGGAGACGCCCCTGGACGCTACGACATCTACCAATATCAGATAACAAACAGGTCGGCTGAGTACAGAATCATCGGCCACTGGACGGACCAGCTGCATTTAAATGTAAGGAGTTCATCTACGTTCCTTTTCAAGTGTACTTAAATGTTAGAGGCTGCCTATAAAACAGTTATTTACTTTGGTAATGATGATTATGGTGTAGACGACTGTCATAATGATTATGGCAATTACACTGTACAATTAGTGGTGTTGAATTAACACCCGTAATTCAGAAGTAACTTTTTTTGAACTATCACCCAAAAGCCAGTATTAGTTTTCCTACACCGTTCATAGGCTTGCAGCCTCCATGTTACAGCTAATGCTGTGAGATTTTATGTTTGTTTTGTCTTAAACATAAAATAACCTGATCCTGTTTGATCAAGGCATGCGACTGTTCTGACTTGTCCAATTTTCAGCATCAGTTTTTCATCTTGCATCAAAATTCTGTCTATTCATTGTTTGCATTTGAAATATATAGTGGGGTTTTGTTTTATTGTACCCAAGTGTACCTAAAATAAAAAGTGTTTAATATACAGGTTTGTGGCTCTTAATTTCCTATTAATTAACCATTTGTAATCTTATGTTCACTGTTCATTTTTTATAAATAAATATTAAATCTATATTCATTCATATAGTCAAATCGAATCGAGAATTGAAATCAAAAATCGAATCGAGAGCTTGAAAATCGAAATCGAATCGAATTTGAACATCTGAATCGATACAGCCACTCCCTACTGAACATCATTTATATGCATGCACGATAATGATTAGGTTCCATTTAATTGCATTTTATTTACAGGATTGCCATTTTAACTGCCTGATATTCCCAGATGTAGTTACGCATAATAATGTTCATATCTATTTAAAAGCATTTTATTTACAGACTTGCAATTTTAAAATTCCCTGATATTTCCACATTTAGTTATGCTATACGTACATGATGTTTACATCTATTTAACTGCAACTTCATAGGCTTGCAAATTTAAAACAGCCTGATATTTCCAGATTCGGTAATGCATGATAATGTTTTTCCTATTAAATTGCATTTTATTTACAGACTTGCAATTGTGAAATTCCCAAGTTAGTCATCATGTGCAATAACGTTTACATCTATGTTTACAGGCTTGCGAATTTAAAATCGATATTTCTAAGTTTAGTCATGCAGGAAATGTTAACATCATTAAAATCAGATTTGCATTTTAGAAAATTGCCTGATATTTCCAGGTTTAGTTATGCACAATAACGTTTACATCCATTTAATTGCACTTTTACAGGCTTGCAAATTTCCCTGCTATTTCCAGGTTTAATTGTGCATGATAATGTTTATACATTTAACTGCATTTTATTTGTAGGCTTATTACGTGGATTTGATGGTGATGCAGCGCTCTTGCTCATCCTTGCGCGTGTCAGTGAAACGGGTCTCTCCGGCGCGGGCCGAAGCGATGATTCCAGCCTTGGACACCAGAGAGTCGGTCAGTGTAGATTTCCCGTGGTCCACGTGCGCAATCACGGACATGTTACGGATGTTGGACTTCTTGTCCATGATGGCACGGATCTGGTCCACTGTGAAGTTCACCTGGAAGAGACACATTTGATATTAGTCATCCAAACTCAATTTACACTTGTTACAAATTATTTGTTCTTGACAAACCTCTTAGTAACAGATTAAGATTTCTAGATGACATTATACTGGTCCTTAACACATCAAAACTTCTGTAGGCCTTCTGTAGATATCAAATGTGAAATTTATATGAAACATGACCAGTGTTGGGAAGGTTACTTTGGAAATGTAATGGGCTACAGATTACAAGTTACCCTATTTAAAATATAATAAGTAGTGTAACTATTTCAATCACTTTATTAAAGTAATGTAACTGATTGCATTTGATTAGTTTTCTAAAGAATGTTTTAAACTGTTAATCATTTTGAAACATTTATAGCAGGTCGGGTTAACCTTACAGTAGCGCTCAACACTGATTACTGTCAGCCTTTCAAAATCCTTCATCACTAGAATTAAGACAATTTAATTTTAAAGCACAGCCGCCACAAAATCAGACTTTAGCACCTCTTTTTACTTTGAGGTCGTTCTGGGGTTAAACACGGATTCAAAATCATAACAAGAAATTGTTTATTAGTTATGAAACTGTTTTTGAAATCAAATCTCTGCATAGCTATGACAAAAACACTGGCATCTAACAATATATATATATATTTTTTAAAGCAGTCGATGCAATTTGGGAAAGAAATCAATTAAATCTGTATAAGTGTGAAAAAAATTCAGATGTAACCTCCTTTGTAATCGTTGACATTTTCACAAGTAACTAAATTTAATTACACATTTTTTCTAAGTAAACGTAACGGATTAGTTACATTTTGTAATTAAATTACGTAATTCCGATACACGTAACTAGTTACTCGTCAACACGGAACGCGACACGTGACTGTATATAAGTTACAGTAATGCGGTAACGAATTTTTGCATTATTTTGCCGCGTTAAACCCAATGGCTTTTATTCAAAGGCCAGAATAAATGCACCTGCTTAAATATTCACCACTAGCGCCCTTTTGACGGCCTACCGTAAGCCATTGCGAAACAATAGACGGTCATGTGCGTGATGTGGCCCCGCTGATAAACTGCACATACGGGATACAGCAACACGTGACTGCTGTGTGCCGGTGCGAACACACCCGACGCCTGCCGTTAAACCGACCGGCAAAGTGACTAAAACCGCACACAGCCCATCACAAACAGAGGGAAAACATAAGAACTAGTACTGGAATTAAAATATCAGGCTATGGAGTTAAAAAAAACATAATGGAGGGCTTCAGATGTGATTTTTCTCAAGCATGCGATTCTTTCCACAATACGTGGCACCGTTAGCTAACATGCTAACTAGGCCCGGCCTGACAAACAAACCAAACGACTCAAAATTACCCATTAAGGATTTGGTTCGAGTTATACTCGCTGAGTGAGATATTATCTAGTCAGAAACCACGATAAATAATTTGTAAAGCATTTTAAAAGTGAGTCGCGCCGCAAAACAGTCGCTGCCATTTTGTTTTGTGGGAAACAACTAGCCGGCCTTTTCCCGCACGCATTTTACCGAAAATCCCGTTAAACGCACAAATACTGCATCTGATATTAAAATCTGCTCGCTGCACATCTGTATCGAGTCAAAGAATACGTCTGATACGTACCATTTTGGCAGATGTTTCAGGATTCACTCAGCACTGATTTTAGAACAGAGAGCGCGCTGCCTTCCGCTGGTGGGGACAGGCAGGGAGAAGGACGCGTCACGACGCAGCGCGGGCTTATATTCAGGTGACGCTTTCAGCTAAGCGTCATGACGCACGCACGCGGCTGAAAGATACAGCTCCGCCTGGCGTCACACATGAGCAAAAGATGCGAATGAAATACAGCATTTACAAATATGACATAACTGAAATATGGAAGAAAAATCGAAAATAAATAAATAAACAGACACAATCATGCACATTTAAATGCTTAAATAAGACATTAGTTATATAATATTTAAGTAAATAACAATGAATGAATTAATTAATAAATAAATAAATAAATTAGACACACCCATACACATAAAATGTATATATAAACACACACA